AAATTTACTGACAAGTATTACTGCCCTGTGGGATGCAAAGAAGAAATGTAGCTACAGTTTCTCAAATGATAAAAGAATTGCTTGCTATAAACTGAGGAATATTTTAAAACAAATCAGAAGTCGAATCTAGCTAATATTAATCCACACCGTAAAGACAGAGACAATGAGGCCTGTATAGTATTAGAAGGTCCTTAGAAAAGATGCTTGGAACACCACTTAGAACATACTTTGCCAAGTAATGGCAACACACAGCAGCTGTTGTACACACCCTCTCAGCCCCAGGGAGGATTAAGCCCACCTTGGAGGAAAGCAGCACAAGCCAAGCACTGTTGACTTTTGTGGGTTCATACACTATAACCCTCTCTATGAAGCTAGGGAGTGAGCAGCAAAACTGCAAAATTCACGGTATATAAAGGAGAACCAGGAAGGGGAAGCCTTACATTAATCTCACCATTAAAGGACTAAGCCATAAAATGAGTTTTATTTTCTAGTCCCATGATTTGGGGACATACGCATTGTTTTGTCATTGGACAAAAATTTTTTGAGAGAAGGGATGAGAAGCCAGGCTGCCTCCGTCTCTGTGAGCATCCTACCTAATCGCTGTGACCTGCTGAACCAAGGAGTTGTCAAGATAAGATGTGACTTCATTTCACCTAATTTCTCCTATGTACTCCACTTGCTAGTCTGACATCTCTCATGAACAGAGGGTCCACTGAGCGAGGCAGGAGCCTGTTGGTGAGCCTCGGACTCCTGGCACTGTCGAGCAACATTTCAGAGTTTGATGCTGTCCTTGTAAGCCAAGGGGTCAATAGTGTGATGACCCCATCAGGCAAAGGAACCAACTCTACCAACTATCCCACAGGTGATTTGTGTTCATTTTGACCTTCCTGGCTTGGCTTATCCTTCACACTGTTCTCCTTCCCACCAAGTGAACAGAAAGCAGACGAAGTTCAGCCCGGAGAAGCAGTTCCAACAGACCAGCTCCTCACACGCACACTGAGCCTCAGCTAAGGTAATTGCGTGAGACCAACAGCCTATCAATCTATCAGAAAGAATCTGGCAATTCATTCTGGGAGAGACTTACAAGAAAATCTGGAGCAAGACACATGCAGAGCTCCAGTTCTGTCTTAACATCCCTTGAGGGAGGGCAAGGAGGATCCTGACCTCAGAAGGCAAAGAAACAGCTTTTGCCTCATGGATTGATTATCTTTCTCCTGGAGGAGGAAAAAGATCAGGCATTTGTGCCACTGTTATTAGATATATTAGTCATCTCTGAAACAGTATTGATCACCTGCAGACCATGGTGGGAACAGAAGGGGTAGCTCTTGGGCAGGCTCCATTTTATATTTGAGAAATCTTGTAAGGAAGGAAAAGGTAAACAGTTTTGCTTCTCCCAGTATCAAGAAAATTGCTATTCAGTACATATGGAAGTACATTTGGGAAGGTAGCTAAGAGAAATAAGGAACCTTTTCAATTTTTGTTTTGTTAGATTTTTGTAAAAATTGTTTAATTTTCCTTGGTGACAATCAGCAGGATGAGAACAGGTGACCTGTAGCATTTGTGCTAACTCGTGGCTGCTACGCTGCGACAAATACTGCCATTTTGTCTATGTAATTACTTTAGGATTATGTTATGATGCCACTGAAGTAAGACATCCTAAGTTTTGTTTAGTGCCAAACATATTTTTCTCACCCGAGACTTTACAGCTACTCAATTGCTGAGTGCACCTGACTGAGGGGAAAGGCGAAATTATCACTGGCTGATTTTACTCTCCCAGGACCGGGGAGGGCGGGAAGAAAATTGCACTGCATGTTTGCACATGTCAAACCTGAAATACTGCAGGGAACCTGGGAGTAAAGAATGTTTCTCCATGTATCCAGTCTATCCATTTCCCCAGATAATAATCCATGCTACAATGAAAAACTACTGAATACAACCATTGACAGGAGAATCTGCTATGCAGTTCACACTTGCTTTTCTCCATCAATGGTCTGAAGGCAGAGAACAATATATCTAATAGCATAATAACAGACACCATTAATACTTTAGAGGTTCAGTATAAAATTGCTTTCATTAGCATGTCAAGTGTTTATTTTAGCTTACTGCAAAACAAGCTCCTTACATACAGCCACTTATTTGACTTTCCTTGATTGCAGAGAGGGTAATAATGAAGGAGCCTACTTTCCCTGATCTTCTGTGGAGATTTTTACACGCACTGAAAAGATATTGCTCCATTACCTCTAGCCAATGAACCAGCTTGGCGTGCTGGAGAAAAATATTACAGCAGAAATATTACTGAACTTAGTGGAGTAGTTTTTCCACACTGGCACAAGAGCATGCATGAGGCTGTTAAAATAGCAAGTTGTATTCCCATCTTCAGTCCAAAAGGACACTGACAACTAAAGAGAGGAAAAAATACCCGATTCCTCCTGTGCCTCAGAGTATATTTCTTAAATATTTTGTATCTGGTCATATTAGCAAGGAGAAAATATGTTAAATGTAAGTATCTTTGGACTAGCTTTTATTGCTAAAAGCTACGGGTTGGGTTTTTTTTTTTGTTTGTTTGGTTGTTTGTAGTTTTTTTTGTTTGTTTTGGGTTTGTTGGTTTTGTTTTTATTTTTTTAAACTTAAGGTACTTAAAGCATGTGAACTATCCCAAATTTAAAACATGCTGAACACAAAGCACTTCATTTTTACCATGAAAAAAATTCAACAAATTTGATCTCAGACAGAGTTTGGCTTTATTGTGTTTTATTTGAGACCGTTTATATGCATTAGCTACTTCGAAGTTCTTTCAAAAAGAAAAAAAAAAAACAAAACAGAAAAAGGCAGCTTTTTGGAAGCGAAGACAAACTCCTACCTAAATAAAATTACTCAAACATGTAGTTCTGGTTCATGTCACATATTCACAGCTTCCATAATCTTCAAGGCTCCCCATTAAAAGTTCTTTTAATTAGTCAAAACCAACAGCTAATAATTAGAAGAGTAGAAACTAAATCCTATTCTCAGACAAATGTGTGCAAATCCCATTTACTTAAATGGAAATGGCTCACAGGTGTGTTACATTAGACTGTAGCCACTCCGCAACTTTATAGGAATTCAGTGTCTGGAGCCTAACTGCTTGACTCCTCTTCAAAACAGAGGCACAGAAATCTGATCCAGGTTTCTTCCCCAGCCCCCTTCAGCAAACACTTTAATTACTTTTTTTTTTTTTTTTTTTTTTTTTTTTTCCATCACAACAATCCTCAAGTCTAAATTTAGACTTTCAATCCTAAACATTAGAGGCCTGATTCACCTAAGGAGAAGAGGACTGTCACTGGCTAGATTAATTTCCGCAGCAGCGACTATGTGTTACAGGCCTCAATTCTGCATCAACAAAATCTACTGTACAGCATCAAATTCAAGGAGTTCAGGCATTTTACAGCTCAAGGGTAACGCAATCTTTCTACCGTCATACTATTTAATTCACCCTTCCAATGTATTTGTTTGTGCTCCACAAAGTGAACTGTAGGTCACCAGGAAACACTGACAGGCATAGTAAACTAGGAAACTGTATCGAGTAAGACATAGAAATAGTGGAACAATATCAGTTATTTTGCCAATGGAAAGAAAACCTTACAGTTTTGCAACACTCTCCACACACTCCCACCCCCTCACCGCCCTCACCCTCCCTTTTTTTAAAGGCACTGATACAATAGAAGCTTTGAGCCACACTCCACATAAAAATATATCATAAAAACTATTATTGTTTCGCCTATTTAGGAACATGGAAAGTGACACCATGATCCCACATGCCGTTTAGCCTGCATACAAATTGACATGTGGTTTGTCATCACTGAATTCTCTAATCCAAACATGAAATTGTTATTTTAATTTCATCTGGGTTTAGTGCAGCATGAAAGGAAAGACAACCAGTCAGGATGAGATGTCTTGGGTCCCTCCACGCCTTCCAGGTGATGACAGCTATTGCTTTAAGTACTTGCCATTAACAACCAGTCACAATGTTAGTGACAGGATGTTACTAGCAGTTACTTAAAGTGATAGATGTTAACATTTTTCTGCTCTTTATGACTCAACACTATACCCCAGTCAGAATATTTTAGGAGCTGAATGCGAAGCGCTAGGTCAAAATGATGAAGATCGTGGAGCCACTGGTTGAGGTGCAGAATGAGACAAGTCATTTGAGGAACATTAGGTCAAAGAGAATCCGTGATAAGGAACTGTCATGGATTAAAGATTAAGGTTCATCCTTTTAACTACTTCACAAAAAGGGAATTCTCCAGCATTGGGGCATTTTGCTCTTCCACCCATATGAGAACAATGTGAAACTCTGCACTCTGAAAATAAGTCTTTGATGTTAACATCTTTTAACAACTCTCCCAATGAGATACAGGTTAAGAAAAGATACTTTGATCCAATTTTATAACAACATAGACCACATTTACCTCCGTACCCATAGGCAAGCTGCCCTCTTAAGACTCAAGTGCAGGAAAGCACCCTTATAGGAACAACACTATAAGCATAACGTTAAGCACCTGGGACTTTCTGGAGTGGAAAACGATGCAGCAAAAAATTTATTGTAGAAAAGGAAAGCAAATATTTTATTGTTCCATGTTTTGCAGCAGGTAGCTGACTTACCTGACCAACTTAACCAACTGGACTATGACCCAAGCCCTGCATGACACACATTACATTTTGTATTATTAATTACATAAAGTCAGAACAAGTTAGAAATAAAACAGCAACAAATTCTCATTTTATATCAGCAATAATTAGTAGCCCATCATACAAAAATAGCATTTGCAATTCTGAATCTACCTTGTGATGAAATACACTTCAGAAGAATTATAATCTCATGATTTAGGCCGAAGGGAACTTTCCAAGTGTGTGCAAACAACATTCTTGAAGTTTTCCAGTTCTTTCCCAAGAATTCAAAGTAAGCCTTTCCCCGCAAAATGCAAAGTTGATTAACAGCTCTGAAAAACGCTCAGACCACCTACCTTCAACATCATCTTGCAGGTCCTCAGGCTGCTCTGCTCTGCTCTCTGTGGAAGATGGAGCCTGGCCTTTTTGTCCCAATCCTTCTTTAAATATTAAAAAAATAATAATTTACATATATAATTTCGAAATAGTTTTATTGTATCTAATATTACTATGCATGATACCACAACTGTAAGTACATTTTATCTTAGCACCCCATTCAGTGCCTGATGCCTATCTTTCTATTATTAAAACTAATTACTGCATCATCTGTTATAAGTCAGAATAAGTATCTTTCATCCTGGACTGAACTTTGTGTAACTTTCACATGACAGCAGTGAAAAAAGATCATACTGAAATAATGTACTGCTTCACAAGCTCTTAATCTCTTCACCAAAAAATTTAATAATGTTTTAATTTGTAGTTTTTAACGTAATATATATTATATTGCATTGTGGAACTGTGGAGAAATAATCTGAACAAAATTATTTTTCCCTCTAAACTGAATTCTCCACTTAGTGTTATAACACAGTAGCAAATGAATATTGACTGAAATTAGTAATGAAAGGAAAGGTAGGGGAGAAAGTTTGATAGTGAAGTAAAGTTAAGGAAATTAAAGCTTTACAAGATAGAAATGTTCTGGTTGAAAAAATCCATTCCAACCTTTTAGCCAGAAAGCAACAGGAAGATAGAGGAAAAGGAAAACCTCCTAAGTAAAAACAGTAACTGGGGCCCATTAAGTTTAAGAACTCCCCTGTTTTTAGGGACTGAAGTTCACAGTGTTTAACATCAGTTGGTTAAACTTTAAAAATTATGTACTTTTTCTACAAAATTTTCAAAATATCCTGTCATTTCAACATAAAGGATGAAATTACTGTCTGTTTGCTATGCTAGACCTCAAGGCATGAACTGGTAGCACAGAAAGCCTGTTAGTACAAAAGGGAGGCCAAGCTGGAAATTAATCATAAAAGGTATTTGTAAATTAAGACGTTTAATGAAAGCAGGTTCGCTAATTAAAACATTCTTCAAACATTGTTGCTTAACCATGAAAGCAGAGAATGGCAGACAATTAAAACTCAGTTCATTGCACCTATTGAATCTATTCAACCACAACGGGAAAATGACTTTCTGTCATTTGACTTTCTGTCAAACCTCCCAATTCCCTGTGGCCAGCTCAGGGCTTGGTTGAAGGACAAGAAGGAAGCCAGAAGAAAACATACTTTTGTGCATGCTGGAAGGAAACCTTGACCACTTGTAACCAGGAAATTTGGGAAGACATATGACCTTGCCTGATTTACCCTTATTGCCGTGCTGTGAGAAAATAAGAATCATGGTATAACCTCAAACTGATTAGCTAATTAGCAACTGGGAAAAAAGCTATCTACATGTGTATTATAAATTGCTTTAGTGCTCTGAAAATTCCTTTCTCTTCTGCTGTCATACATACCCTGCATGATCACCTACTCGGTATGTCACTGGATTTTTAAACAGCTCTCAGCAATCAGATCCCCAGTTCTCATAAAGTACTCAAATCTGCTAAGATCCTGTAGTTACTACCCTTTTATCTTCTACCCTTCCACAACTATATATATCTAGAACCAAAATGCTGAAAGGCAACTTGCAGAGTCAAAGGGAATGTTGTGTTTGTTCAAGAGACAAAAAGCGAGTGAATAGCTCTGGCTTTGCATGGAGCCCAGGAAACTCAGAAATGTTCTCTGCCTGCCCTCCTGGGAAACTGGTTATTCTACTGTACCAAAAAAGAAGAGCCATGAACTGGGAAGCTGGCAGGAATTTACATAAAGCAATGGCTCAAAATGTCAACAAAAATCCCCAAATTGACGTCTCAATGTGAGCAATTAAATTCCATCTCACTTGCTTAATTTTAAGGAATGAGCATTACCCAAACAAGCCAAACTGAATATTGTTCTTAAAAATTTCTTCTAGAATGGAATTTCTGTTTCATTATAGAATTTCACACAGTTCAGGGCATGAAGGGCCCTTAGCTATCAGTAAATAAAGCTAGTTACTGCAAAGCAGAACATGCTGTGAGGTTTGGCTGGGTATCAGAAGGTAGACCCTTCCCAACAGCACTTAAGATAAGACACGTCATGTGTCATGTCACCACATTTGCTCATGTGAATTTGAAATTCAAATACAATATTCTGGGGAAAACAAGAGTTTTCAAGTGCTAAGATGAATTTATTTCTGGAGTGGTGAGAATGTAGAAGAAACCACAAGAAATACTGTGTGGAAAAATAAAGACAAAAACTGCCAAATAACGAAACACTTTGTCAACCCTTTAAAAGGACCACTAAGGAGCAATGGTGATAGAGTTCAACAAGAACTTCAATACAAAAGAGAGATCCTGAAAATGACCAGGCTTTTAAAGGTTGATTCCTGCCAACACTCTCCCATTCTTTTAAAAAAGAATATGAATATTTATAGTGGACCATATCGATATATGGCTTCTAATGACACTCTGAACTACCTGCTACATTCCCTTTTTTTGGTTGACAACAATTCACATCAGGGGAATGAATCAATAGGAGTGTTTTTATCAACACTCACTCCTCTAGTGATGAATTTTATCATCTAACCAATCTGTGAGGCTTCCTCCAGTCCCAGGAGTGAAATGTCAATCAAATTTAAGTGCAAATGTCCAGCCAAGTCTTTCAGGAGTATCCGAATACATTAGATAATATAACCAACATCTTAATTGATAGCACAAAGATGGAGAGGGAGGAGGCTTACATACAGAGAAGTCAGAACTGTTACTATCTCAAAAGAAACAATCTTTGCACTCTATAAAAAACCTTAAAATACTCACAAAAGGATGCAGAGGCACTCTCCCAGGAGAACAAGATTTCAATCAAAATTTCACTGCTTTTTTTTTAACAGATTTCCCTCATTCCAGTGACAGAAAAGGATTTGTGAAGGCTTCAAAATAATGTCTTTTTATTATGGTCAAAATACAACTCTTAACCCCTTCTGCTCTTCAACAGTATGTAGGTATTTCAGAATAGTTCAGCCAAATATTATAGAAATTTTGCCTGCAAATTTCTGTTTAAAAAGAGCTCACCTAGACAGGTGTCTGAACTGATCGTATTATAAGCTTTTCAAATCGCGATCATCTGTGCAAAAAGGTTTCTGAGCTCTAACACAAGGAGAAATGATTCTTCTTTATAGGCTAATTCAGAGGGTCAACAAACCACTTAAATCTCACAGTCTGTCTCTATTCCCAAAATCCCTCGCAACTTTCAAATCTCCCTGGTTATACGTGATTGTTATTTTAATCTCGGAATAAAAGAGAAAGTCTCCCTCCAAAAAAAGTGCCCAGGAGTGTGCATACAGTAGAACACACAAAGAAATTCTGTATTTATACAGCAGTGATTATAATAGGGCTTCCCTTGTTAGTATGAACAAGATCCTTCATCCTGCCATTCTAGCTGGCTGTGGCTTCGGAAATAATGAGTAAGTGGTTAATTAGGATGCTCAGGATAAAAACAGGATAACCAGCAAGGCATTTATTATTAACAAGTATTAGATGGGAAATGAGAGACAGCAGTGTGGCAACATTCATACAGGTGAGGTCAAAAGGTTTTGGTACCTGGTGGAGAGTGAAGCTGAACAGGTTGAGGGAGAGTATAGATTCAGAACTGAAACCCTTTTATGTGTTTTTGTTTGTTTGTTTGTTTGTTTGTTTTTTATTTCTTTTTTTTTTTTTTCCTTGTGTTGTTTTTTTTTTTTTTTTTTAATGGTAAGCAAATTAACTTATGTCAGTGCATAATAATGTGATACTATTTTGTAGGAATCTGGACTGTGCTTCTCATAATAGCTCATGCTTCTATAATTTCCACATGCAATCACTGCAATTGCGCACATAATTATGGCAGTATTAGGGCTTATTTTGCATGCTTCTTTGCATGGATATGTGAATCTATGGGTATAAAATCCAAGTCCTTCAGAAGCTAAAGTTTAGAATAATCTTCCCTTAATGGAGCTTAAAACATTAAGCACCATGACTCTACAGCGTTAAATCACTGAAGTTAAAGGTAGACAATGCTATTAGGTGATCTGGTCCTTCTCTTTTCCTATGTAGGAAATCATTCATAAAGAAAAGCTGAGATATAGAACTGCAGAGATCCATACCCACTATTACTATACCTGCCCTCCTGACTCAAGCCATTCTAATAGCAAACTGTATGACATATGATAACATCAAAGCACATTGAATCAAATGGTGCCGTTAAGTCAGCATCTGCTACAAGACATAGCATCCAGAATAACAAACTGATGGGTTAAGATCCTGTGAGTCAAACATCGTTAAAAGAGTGGTCTTGGGTGTGTAAATGTAATAAGACTAGGTTACTTTTTATTTTTAAATGATTTTTTCTTATTCTAGAACATCCAATATATGCAGTGATATTATGTGATTAACTCGCTAATATGATCATTCATGCCTGTTGATTTTATAGTATTAATGTAGATATTAATGGAGATTATCTGGCAGATGTAATTAAGACATTCCCTTATTTATTTTGAAGAGAAAGCATAGAGAGAAAGGCCTTTCTGCGTGTACTTAGAAATTTGCACTTCAGGGTTGTAGACATACAAGATAGATTACTTTCATAATGTATCCATCACTCAGTAATACACACATTTGGTCACCTGTTATTCCTTACTCCCAGCTAATTCCCTAGCTGTTCCCAAGGCCTAGTTTGGTGTGCAGTGAAGTCCATGGACATAATCCCACACTCCCACTGACTTTAGCTGACACCAGACAAGGATCAGTTTTTTTTCCTCTAATTCTTGCCACCAGGTTTAAATTAGGACCAATTCTGTAACCTCCACCTCATTCTACTACATTCTTCAAACAGAAATTGGTACAGATACAATGAATCATTTGTATTCCTGCACTTCTCTGTGTCTTCTTTTGGTTTGATATTGGCCCTCAGAAGCATCTAGCCAATAGGAAGTTGGAGGCACAGGAAATTAGGTGTACTTTAGAATATTTGAATCTCTTCCAAAAAGTCCTATGTACATGTGTAGTCTGCAACATGTGCTTTCCAGGAATCAAACATTTCTGGTTTCCTTTTTTTTTTTTTTTTTTTTTTTTTTTTTAATCTTAAATTTAGGATTTGGAGAAATAACCCCAAAGCAGCTTGGATATGGACAGCTCAGAAAAACAGGGTCATCAATATTGGTGCCAACTGCTGACTCCCATCTGCTGAAGTCATGACCCATGAAGTCAAGTGGAATGAAGAACGATTATTCAATTAATATCTTGAAGCGGTGACTAGAAGTTACTACTCTATTTTTCCCTTACTACAGTGGAAGGCAGATATCCTTCAAACTGATAAAGATCTGAATATAAAAATGAAACCTCCCCTCAATGCAGAAATTACGCTTGTATTTATAGTTCCTGCAAACGCGTCCTACAGTCATTAAAAAGTCCATACACAAATAGGTCAAAAGGGCATAACTTTTGTATATCTGCCCCACTACTGGTGCACATATACAAAAGATACTTCTCTTTAGCCATGTAGGTATTGATTGCTGACAATCAATGCACTGATTCCCAAAATACATCCAAGTGATAAAGAAATAACCAACTATCTGCTGTTGAAACTTATAGCACCCTACAGGCAAACCTGTGAGGGAAGATATGATCTCAGCTCTCTATATGCACAAAGAAACAGACAGTTAGGGAAACATTTTCCTCAAATGACTTAATTCAATGATAATTTCGCAGAGCAGCTATGTAGCTTCACCTAAATCAATGAAGCTGTGAAGGATACAAGGCAAGAAAGAAGAGACCAGCTATTAAGTGGAAATGTACTTCCTTTTAATTCTAATTTAAATTGCTTTTAAACAAAAAAATCAATGTAATTTGCATAATCTTCATAAAAGCAAGACAAAAATGCAAAATAATTTAGCTTATAAAATATACATGACACGGTAACTGTAAAAAATGAAAAGTTAGATGAATACTGCAAATTCATTTGTAGGATAATCTTTGGTAAATATTTGTTGTATAATGACAGTCTTTATTTTTCTACTTTTATGTACGTAACTATATCAATCACACTAATTGTATTAAAATTTCTAAAAGTTCCTATCGAGTAATCTTGACACCAAAAAGTAATTATATGTAATAAAATCAACAGGCCAGAACAGCCATAAAGGAATGTGCTAATCCATCAGTGTAACACATATCTATCTGTCTGTATCCATGTTTTCACATCTATGCACATACAACCATTCTTCAAGTATTTTGAATTTCTAAGCTAATTAATTGGTTGCATAAATCATCATAATCCATTTGTCTTAAGGACAATCTTGCAGCCAACATACTGCTTCAAAAGCTTTTACCTCTGTTTTCTGGCTGGAATATCTCTGCCTTTCTCCATGTGGCTTTCCTTTCTGATCCCATATCTTTTTATAAAGAGAAGAACTGGAAGTTCCTGCAGTCACTGGGCTATGATGGTACTAGGGTCACAGAGACCCTGTACCAGCTGGTTAGGAAGGAGATGCAGAGAAGAAGAGTAGGGGGAGCTATGCTATATAAAAGGAGGTTCTTCACTGCACAGAAGTCTCTTATGGAACAGGAGATGTCTGCTGAGAACCTCTACGAGAAGGTCGGCAGGGAAGGTGACACAGGGGGCTGTGGGGGAAGCCTGTTACGGAAAGCTGGATCAAGAAGATCAAGTTGATGAAACTCTCTACAAAAAAAATTAGCAGAAGTCTTCTGACTGAAAGGTTTTGTCATCATGGGAGACATCTAATCCTCTGTCCTCTCCTTTTCTTGTTCCTTAGGCCTTTCTTTCCTTTATACCTACCCATCATTTCCATTTCAAGTCTATCCACATCCACAAGTCCTAAACATATGCAATTGTTTTAAACAGCAAACCAAGACAACCAGGAAAAAAGTTCTCTGAAATATTGTCCAATCAAGTTCAATGCATTTGAGAGTTTGCATGAGAGCTTTGCTACCATTTTCATTGCAAACAAATCATGGCTGCATATCAGAATTGCAAATGACTCAAGAATCGCTGTATTCACACCTTTTTACAGACAAAGAGACTGCAGAATTTTAATTATTTCCCATTTATGTTCAAACTAGTTATTAATAAAAAGCAATCGAGTATCACGCAGAGGCTCATAACAGATGATGACATTAAAAAGGTAGTCTCAGCCATTCTTGCCATGTACTATTTATTATCAGAGATGGTTTGCCCTATGTTATGTTAAAAACCAGAGATGACTGTCATAACATTGGCAATAAATGATTGGCACCACTTATCACAACCAAGGCAATTTGTTTCAAGAATTCTTTCAGTTTGGTTGATGCTTTGGAGAAAATATGTATTTTAGCATAAAACACTGTTTACTCACCTGTCTCTTCACTCAGGTCAGTTCCTTCTTCATTAGTATCATCTGTCAAAAAAAAAAAATTGAAATAAAATGATTAGTAAGAATACCAGAAAACATCTAAAATGCAATATTCCATGTTTCAAATTGTCTGTATCTGAGCTTGCCTCCTCCCATTTAACATTTTGCATTGATATCTGTAGATGGAGTGGAAAAGAAAGTTTTCATACTAGACTGTTACTTCCGGGTACAGAAAATGCAGGGAATAAAGACAGGGAATAAAACTCTGCATAATTTACAGAATTCTGCAAATTATTACTTGTATAAAATGAAACTGCATTCTCTTTTCTAGCAGAGTTTTTGGCTTACGTGTCAAGTTTCAGTTTGCTTTGCTTCCTGGGAACAACTGGCTATGTTAAGAAAACAGCTAGCTATCCAGAAATCATACCACTATAAATTTTCCAGACAGGACTTAGGTTTAAGACCAAACTTGGGCTAGCCAAGAACAGAACAGTTGTAAGTATTAAGATGATATATGAAGAAAGCAGATTCCTTCTGCAAAAAGTTGCGTTTCAGTAACAAAGGAATTTCTTACCGCAATTCGTTTTGATGAGGAAAAAAATATTAGCATTAGTTAACATCTAGATGATTCAATGTTCCAGAGCCTTAATCATCTAATGGAGAGCTCACCGACCACAGATGTTTATGTTAACTATGTTCCTAATTCATATTGACTCCATTTATACCCTTTTAAATGGATTTGGGCATGTTCAAATTCTGTAGCAAGCCTACAATTTCTGTCTAAACTTTAACATCTCTCAAACTCACACATGTGCCTATTATGGCCACCACCACTGGAATCCAAAGAAGTTTTGCAATATTATGATCAATGGTAATGGAAACTAACAGTAGTATTTAGGTCCTAATTTACAGGGTCAGGTCTTTACACTATAAACTCTGCTGAGATCCAAATGCTGTGATACACACTATGAGGATTGAGCTCTGCTTTCATCAAGATTTCGAGACTGAAACGTTATTCTAAGTAGCCTAAGAGCAGAAAAAATGGTTAATAATAAAGGCCTCCACTATGAATTATGTTTGGTACAAACGTTAAAATTATGAGCATGAGAATTTTCATGGATGCTTGTGAATCTACAATAGATGGATCTGTATCCATCCTTCCATCTCATTCAGACGTGGTCTGGAAGGCAGGACTTTCAGAAGCCACTAAACGACAGCAGGTTACGTTTCTCTTAAGTGCACTTTAGTTCAGCCCAAAGGATCAGGACTGAAAAAAGTCACTGCACATTTTTCTTCCTTTCTTCTTATTCTGCAAACAATTGTTTTGGAGATCAAAAAGGCACATGGACCCCTACTGTACAAATATTAATTTGTACGCAGAAACTTTAAGGAGATTTGACAAGTAATTTTTAAGATAAGAAAATGAAAAATCTTGTTAAAGCCAATGGGAATTCTGCCATTTACTTCAACAGAGCCAGGATTTTCAACTGAAGTCCTGCCATTTTTCAACAAACCACTCAGAAAACGTTTGGTTAAGACAGAGATTATTAATTATTCAGTTTCCAATAATGTGTTCTTTCCATGGAAGCATTTGCAAGGAAACCAGCATGATAAAATTTCAAATTAATCTAAGAGTTGATACTAAATCAGCAGAATATAATATCTTAACATACATATATCACCTGGTCTTCTGCGGAAGTTCTTAATTATAGTGCTGTAAGTGACTTGGAATACGAAATTCCCAAAGCAACAGAATAGCTTCTAAGCTGGTGATAATGGACACAGACAAGAAATCTGATGTCATTAAAAAGTAGTGAAGTTATCATGCAATATAATTATGAAGAGGCAGAGACTGCTTTTGTGAACTAATTGTGAATTAAAGGCTGTTTTTTCTAAGAAAATGAACGTCAGTCTCACTGAAAGGCAGTAAAGTCCTTATGTCACTTCTGAAAATGGGAGTTGGGCTCCCAATGGCTTGGTGACATGATCTGTAGGTCATTGTTGTGCCTTTGAAAATTCTACCCCAATCTAGATCTGAATCTGAGTTTCACTTTGGCACACAGCACTCCCCAGTCACTTCATCCATCTACAATTCTTACTCTCACACTATTAATGCATCTGGTGGAAGTGCTTCCCTGTCAAATATATAGTGGTGACCTTGGTGTCACTGACCTTGGTGTGGCTGGCTGAAGTGATAAACACCATGTTTAGTTGGCAGAGCTCTATGCCAGAACCAATTATCTGAGATAAACACCAGTGTTTTAGAAATATATGTCCCAAAGTAATTCACTTCCGCCCCCCCCTCCAAGAATATTACAGGCAGTTTCTTGGTTACTGGTTCTGAAGAAACAAAAGGAAGTAAAAATGTTTTTTTTTTTTTACTGAATCTCCACATGCCTAATATAAAGCAGAATCAGTGCTGGGATTGCTATAAACTAGATTTGTAATACCTAGGGTTTGTTTGTTTGTTTTTTTTTATGTTCCCTATACATTTTTTTGCCCCACCTAGAGGAAGCCTTCTAGAGGTTTGCTTTGGTTTGAAATACACACCATAGACAATCAAACATAAGGCAAAATTGAGTAAAACCACAGAAGAACCTGAGTGAATCTCTGACACTAGTAAATATTTCCTTAAAGACATAGCATCAATATTTCTTGCCCAAACTCCCCTGTTTGAAAGACCAGTGGTCCTCTGTAACTCTCACCCTTACTCAAGAGCTGTTGTAAAACAACTGACTAGGAAAACATGCTGTGGTGTGTGTAAGTGTGTACCCACTCTTGCTTACTCTTTTGGCTGGAGAAGCAGAACAGTAACCTTTCACATGGCTTCTGTATTAAAGCCTTGGATTTTGGGAAGCTCCACCAAGATGACCTTGCTGGAAAAGAAATGACAGACCTTGCAGCCTAGAGCGAGAGAAAAACTGACAGTAACTCCCTGCAACGGTCAGCCCACCCCCAAGAAAACCTGCATCAGGATTTAGAAGACTTAGGATACAAGGAAGCCATCTAATCCAAAATGTGTCATATGGATGAGAGTGCAAAATTTTCCAGCTTTTAAGTCGGGCTATAGTATATAAAATTAAGGTATTAGATGGGTGATGTATGGGAGAACAGTTTCCAGTCAAGTATAAAATAATTTACAGTCGAGTCAACCTATGATTGAAACTCGCCCTCTATCTCTCATTCTATCTGGGGCAAATATATCTCTAAAAGATCGCAGAGTTTTGCATTTGGGAGCATGTTGCTCAGAGCATGCACATTTGTATAAGTCACAGGCTCCCTGGTAGAGTCATGTTCCAAATGATGCCTGTTACTCTTTCATTCCCCTCTCCCTTGTTACCTGCCCAGCTCTGTGAAACAGAAAAATTGCACCATACCTGCTCTTATTGACACTGGAGAAGAGGAGGACTTCTGTCATATACTTTTTTTTTTTTTTGCTTTTGCCTTGCTGGCCAGGTTCTTTCTCTGTCTCACTAGTCACTGCATACAAGCAAACACAAGCCAGATGGCTAAAACCATCAATCTGTGTTAAGATTTATGTTAGGAACAGAGAGGTGAAAGTCTCTAAATACCGCTGCTAATCCCCAAAGCCATTAAACCGCCTCCTCCTCGTTGCTCGTGCTTCTATTTGCATTCTTCTTCATGTTAGCACGTGGAGAGTCAATGCTGTACAAACACCTTTTATTTTTAACTGTGCATGCATTGAAGAGCTCTTACATGAGAGCCAGCTCCACGTTGCAGAAGGCTGCTGTTTCATCTGCATTCAGGCCCTGCACCCCAGGCTGCCAGCACTCCCCCAGCAGCACTGCATGCTGCCAGCTCCTCCCTGCCTTCCTCCAACCTCTCCTCAGACGTCTCCTCTCATCCTTCAGGATTTGTTGCTTTTCTCAGCACTTTCTGCTGCTTCCCGATTTCCGGACGTTTCCCGATTTCCAGCCAACCCCCATGTCTTGGTCTGCTCCTCTTTGCAAGTGCAGCTCCGTGCGCTGAATGTAACCAGAGGAGGGGATGGGAGGGCACTGGGGAACCAGAACAAACTCCCCTCTGCAGCCTGTATACACACACACTGGCAAGCAGGGTGATGAGATGGGCAGAGATGTACCGGAGATTGAAGTGACAAAGTTGGCAATCATACTGCTGATGCCTCAAAAAAAAGCCAAAACCAAAAAAACCCATAAAACCTTTCATCACTGACAGCTGCAGCTATCCTGTTGAGCTTATCTGAGATACAAAAATAAGGGCCTAGCTGAAAAAGTTCCTGCCGTCAAGCATCTCCCTAGCAGGTATTCCATGATCTGTCTGTACAGTTTCCACTAGAATAACAGAGGATGTGCAGCACAACAGTCTCACAACATTGAGGAAAATGGATCTCATTTTGGGGTAGTCTCTGCTTGATTAAACGACAAGCTTCTTGTGTCCAATCCTGCAGTGGGCAGCAGGGTGGGCCAGGGTACTTGCCTGATGTAAACTGTCTAAACCATCGCAATATCAGGTTTCCAGCAGCTGGAAAGACCAAGTGAGTTCTCACTCTCCATATTTCTCTCTACCACACTTGTCTTTACAAAACTTGGTCCCAAAGCTTTACCCACCTGTCTACATTATCATCTTAATATCCCTAGGAAGCTTTATAATCATGTGTCTTATGTCCATTTTCAATCCTCAGTAATTGAAAAATCACTTTTTGATTGCTTACAATCAGTGCTGCTACTCAACAGAAGCTTCACTATAGTATACAAGTTCTATGTACATCTCAACATAAAAGAGTCAATGTTTCTGTAGTATTGTAAACCACATGAGAATACCCTAGGGCTTGATGAAGACCAAACATACATATGAGGCTTGCCACAACCTAGGAGCTCACAGGTTCTTTCGGTTGTTTTGATCCCTCCAATACTGTTCCCCACTAGTAGAATACAGTAGACTAACCACTAGCACAGAAAAAGGGAACATTTTCTTTGAGGAAAAGCAGATTTGAAAACCTCTGCCAGATGAGATCAACTAAAGCCAGGCCTGATTCTCTTCACATCTACTTGTAAAAAATTAGA